AACTTCAACAGCAGCTAAGCTTGTGACATAGATAGCTGGCTGTAGCGGAAAGTTAAAACAAATTAAAGACTAGCATACACAATTAGTTAGATTAACTTCTGTATGTGCAGATTAAAAAGAGAGGATGAGTAATTCATACCTGACTAATGACGGTAGAATCAAGCTTGTCTTTTGGCCCATTAATACAAATATCCAAAAGGTCAAACCTGATTAAATAAAATTAAAAATAAAGCCCAAATATTTGTTATAAGGAATAAAAGTACAATATATATACCCCAAAATCTCATTTGCTCTTGTATACAGTTCAGCAGCGGCTGGCACCTTCCGAGCCTCTGTACCCATTCCCACTGCTTGGGCTCCCTAAATATTAAAGTGATGATCGGAAAATCATTAGCTGAAAATAGCTCTATGAGTTCATACAAGCACTAGTGCACTACTAAGCAAACCCAGTAGTTTTTTTATTCAAGAGTAACGAAAACCGTATAGAGTTATAAATGCACCACTTTCTCCAGTTTCAATTTGAATATAAACAAAAACAGAAGGTTATATACTAATATGCCCAGATCATATAACATTGAAGCGAAATGGATGAGACTCATGAGAATAATATATGAAACATAAACTGTCCTAAATGAAGTAAAACTGTGTTTTTTAAAAATAAGACTACCATGTTTTTTACCTAAATAGGAGCTGGCATGCTTGGAAAATACTGTCAACTATGCCACTAACACTGGTGCATTAATGTTTGATAGTCTAATTAAGATAGTATGATTTTAGGGTGACAGTAATTTACTCATATTTAGGCGGAAACATACTCCTATTTCGGGGAACCACATTTTTTACTCCTTTTTGAGAAATTTCCCTATATGAAACTTGATTTTAAAAATGACACGACCTATTGAACTGCAATGTGCAGATGGCACCACTTTTTGGAAAATTTTAAGGAGCCACATATGATTTCACTATAGAGTCAGTGGCCTCATCATAGCTATTCATTTTCATAATCAGGTCCTCCAGTATAACCCCACAGTTAAAATGAGTGTATACAACAACAACAACATCCGAGCCTTAGTCTCAAAAGATATTGGGGTCGGCTAACATCAATACATGATATCACCACCAAAAGGAAAAGAAAGAAAATAAAGATAAAAAAAGATAAGCTATTATAAAAAAGATAATATAAAAAGAGATGAATTTACCTAAAAATGATAAACTAAAAAGGATAAAAATAATGTTTACATATGCATGTAGAGGCCTTCAAGGGCTCTACTAAAAATGATAAACTAAAAATGAGTGGTTATGGTGAGGTCACATATGTAGGTATGACTCCTTAGTTTTTAGCAATTTATTTCCTTTTCAATTTGTTTCCTTTTCGATCAAGTAGAGGCCTTCAAGGGCTCTATTACTCACCTCTAATGCTCATTAAGACATTAGAGATGACCACACTAAACTACTCCTCTAGTTTTATGACCACGCTAGATCCTATCATTTTCCACAAATGCATCAAATATTCATGCAGCAAGTATCTTTTTGCTGTCATAACTCATAATGCATAGAGGTAGCATTTTATTAAGGCCTGAGATTGGTTAAATTGATAAGAAAAATAAAAAACAATGAAATCACATCGAAACTATGTTAAGAAGTGATCTTATGTTCTAAATATTAACGCGATTTGGTATAGTAGCCAAAGATTTGTATATTTCGTGTTATTTATAAACTGGGGTTGAACAATTTTTCAACACATGTATGCATTTATGATCAATGTATATAAAATCCAATTGAAATTGTAATGCATAAGAAATTCAGGAAACCAGACCTGTCCAGGAAAGAGAAATGCAAGAGAGGGCTTGTAATCCTTGAACAGGGTATCATCAACATCGGTGCGAGATCCAACAGAGAGCCTCATGGAAACCCTAGACTTTCCAAAATCCACGGGTCCAAAGCTCCGGCGGGTCCCATTCCAGGGGGCAGAACAGCTCGAGCTCCGACGGGACTCCAGGGAGGTGCGATAAGATTTGTTGATCCGCACGGTGGGAAGCACTATAGCGGAAGCGCTCATTGTGTAGTTTGTGTGAGCTAGCGAAGCAGTCGAGGAAGATGAGCCGAGATGAAAAAGAGCAGAGTGACGGTGGCGGAGAAAAACATGCATTTAAAATGGAAGCCTCATTTCGCGAATCGGCAAAAGGACAACTTTGTGCGGACTTTACAAATTACAACGACGTTGATGCAACCATTTTGAGGAAAAGGGGCTAAAGGTAAAAGAGTGGTCTGGATTAACGGTAGGGGTTGAAACTTGAAAGTGATTAATACTCCGTAGTAAGAGTTGGGATGTTTTTTTGGACTCAAATTTGCTAGTTTGTTTAAGCCAGATTTAGTATAGTCTAATGTGAATGGTTGTGATTCTAGTAAACGTCTGGTCTCTGTGTATTTTATAACTATGAAAGTCTGATTTGTTCAAGTGTGATCTGGTCTAGTCTGTTTAAGTCTGATTTGAGACTGAAAACAGTCCAAAACACAACATCCTTATTAGTAACAAATAAAATGATTTTGAAAAGTAAAAATTTTGGTGTGTGTTTTGTGGTAATACAAAAAGTGAAAATCAATTGAAATCATACATATATCTTGTTGTAGTTGTTAACTTTAAAGTATTTATCTTATTTCTTAAGTTTAAGAATAAAAGCGGACGGAGCTCTTTGGCCTAGGATTTCTGTTGTGGCAGCTTTGGTCGCAATTTTTTTGACAAGTTTAACGAATGACGTTGGTCTTGAGCGATTTGGATTGAGGCAGCGATCTTCCAAGTAGACAAGGAGACAGTTCGGATGCAGTGCTTTCGTGGTGTAGCAATTGAGTCAGTGGCACATCTAGTGGCAATCTCTTTAGCGAGACAGAAGGAGCGGGATGGAGGACGTCGCGGATGGACAAGCACAGGTTATGGACGGCAGAAAAGCCTTATTCCCAGCGAGTAGCAGATTGATGACGAGGGACCCGTTCAGTGAAGGGTAGAGTTCGTCGGGCTTTCTCCTGAACCACCACCATAGAATGAACGAGGTGCTAGGATTCAAAAAGTTTACCCGTTAGTTATTGTTATTTTCGATTCAACGTTAATCTTTTCCATGTTGTGGGTAATTTTAGCTTTCAGTATTGTTTTTTTATTCTGTTTGTTGGGTCTGGGAATAGAGGGTTTCCTTTCTATTATGTGCTTTTTGTTGTGAGAATGAGTAGAAGCAACAAATTTCTTGCATGGTTAGCAATTGATCTTATGCACTATTGGGCAGTATACTTTGTGTGTGATCAGTATTGGGCAGTATACTATTGGCTATGGTGAGTAGAGGGAAGTCCTGGGTATAGAGTAAGAATGATATTTGGTAACTTGGTTGTTGATTTGGCTCGATATTTGAATGTTTGTTTCTATAAATTTAATATAAGCATTTTCCATTAAAAAAAACTTAAATAAAAAGGGATGGTTTGAAAACAATATTATTAACTTTTTAAAATCTAAAGCTTAAAAGCAATGTTCTAAAAGGCGCTAGGCGCTAGTCGGGCGCCGGCCCAACGCCTAGCGCCTAGGCGGCTAGGCGGGCGCCTAGGCGGGGATTAGTCGGAAACATTAAAATTGCATTTTTATCTATATTTTGCATAAATATGATAAGTAATATGATATTTTTGTGTGTATAAAATACATATATACATATACATTAACAAACATGAATGATAGAATTATCACATTTAATCATACGTGGTATATGATAACAAATCACTTAACTTCATTATGTTATAAATATAAATAATGATAAAATTTAGGTATATATATAAACTATATAGTTTTATCTTAATTTACAACTTCATTTCTTTATATCCATTGCTAAAGCTAAAATACGTATATCGCTTAGAAAATTAAAATTAAAAAAATGTTCAACGAATCTAGACGGCCTAGGCGGCCTATTAGGCGCTCTAGGCGGGCAACTGGCGCCATAAGCGGCTCATTAATTCACCTAGACGGCAAACCAATTAGTCGGAGCGCCTAGACGAAAATCGGGGCGCCTGACCACCGCCTAGCGCCTAGGCGGGGACTAGTCGGGCGCCTAGAACGATTTTTAGAACAGAGCTTAAAAGTAATACTCGGTAGATTTATAGGGGTGGACCGGACCCGGTCCGGTTCTAGTTCGGGCCTGGGGCCGGCCGGGCTTGAATTGTTTTGGGTAACGCCCGGGACCGGCGCGGGAGTCTACCGGTTCTGGACCGATTCCGGTTTATTTTTATTTTTATTTTGGGTTTTCATATTTATTCCAACCCCCAACCCCCATCCCTCCACCCCCAAACCCCTCAAAAACACCCAGCCCAAACCCAAAAAAAAAACAAAAAAAAAAAAGCTCGGACCGGCCGGGCCGGTCTGCATTTTTCACATCCCGGACCCACCCCCGGAATAGCCATCGGATCAGTCCTAAGCCCAGTACCGGTACCAGTCACCCAGGCCGGTCCCGCACAGTAGCGGGCCGGGCCGGTCGGACCAGACCGGCTCCATCCCTAAGCATTTATCTATTCGGTGTCCCAGTCTTCAACAATGTGTGCATTTTTTAGCTTTTACTCCGTAGAGAGACATTTTTCTTAAATTTGAATTAAATTTGCTAACAGGGGTTCCTCAGGGAAGTTCTGCAACAGTATAGATCTGCATACTGCTCAGGTCAATTTAGTTTCCTTTTTTGGTAAAGTCAGATTGGCTTTCTTTTTTTTTGTAATGTCAATTTAGCTTCCTTTTTTGGTAAAGTCAATTTAGCTTCCTATAAGTTTCCTTTTTTGCTTAGTGATCTAAAAATCACAATTACCCTACGAATTCAAAAGCAAGTTCAAGTTAAATTCTTTAATTAATTTTTTAATATAAGGAATTTTTTTTGTCTTTTTCTAAAGCAATAACGATGAATACCAAGTATGTTTTATTTCCTCAGTACTTTATTTCCACTGCATTTTTATACCTAACAGTTTAGCAACTTTAGCTAGCTGGAATGATTTCAAGGAATGCAGCGACATTTTTGGAGAAACGGAAAGCAGCTACCTTTTGTTTTGGGGGGGGGGGGGGGGGGGGGCACATTTGAACGACTGTTGATCCCCTTAAAAGACTGGTATATTTTACAGAGTGAACGAATACATACATGTTCATTACAAGAATGTGATAATTATACAAGACGGCACTCCTATAGTCCTATCCACTTCTCCAGCTCTGAATTTGCTGAAGGGCAATTTCTTATCCCCTATGCTTAAGAATCCCCATCTATCCTCTAGTTGTTATGGCTGAAACCTGTACCTTAGAGGCAAAAAATACAGAAATAAATATTTTTTTGGTCCTTTCACATACAAAAAAGGGTAGAAAAAAATGGCACTAGATTCGCAAGCCAAGTTAGTGAACTTAAAGGGATTTCTTGATTGCCCCTTTTGTGTTTTGGGTCCACATCTATCTACATGTTATCAATGGCCTGAATTTCACGGAAAGAATCGCTTTTGCTTCTTAACACAGTTGCTTTATCATCCCTTATCTCAAGCACCTAGTAAATAGAGGACAAAATCAGGTAAGCAACAAGAATATAACGCACGCACAAATAAATAAACATGCAAGAGTTTGTGGACCTATATGCGAAGATAGAGCAAGAAACAACTCTCAACCCACTTCACCAAGTATAAAGTGGGAAATGTTTGAGGGGTATGAATTAAGTAAAATGCTCAAGCGACTTGAGTTTCACAATATTCATGCTGTGAGAGGTGAAGCTCCCCCCACCCCCACCCCCCAAAAAATGAATTGTTTTCTGGCTTCACCACTGCATGAAATGGTGATTGTTTTAGGGGAGGACATGTCACACCTCAGGCATTGAGTCAAGAACTCCACTTGACATTCCGACATCGATGCACCATATGCGGCAATTATATTTGCTGCAGAGAAACCAAAATAAGTTAAATGCATATCATTGAAAGGAAACATTTACAAAGTTGGGACCTTGTTTATTCAAATGAAACAATTTTTTGGGTTTTCTTTTCAATCAGCTAAGAGCTGATAGGCCATAAAAAGTCAGCCCAATAAGAGAAGTATCTCAAATATCATACGGAGTATGTTAATTTGTTATGTCATTTTTAGTAGTTGTGTTCCCATGTATTCAACACCCTCTACGACAAGACAGCTCATCTGAATTGTGTAATTGTTGATTTGTTTTTCTACCATTTCATGCATTATCATCATCATTGATTCTTCTGTCTTCGGTTTGTCATAATCGTCTACTCATCATTTTCTTTTCACAAGTGGTAACAACTATAGATCAGGTTAACTTATTATATCGTATTTAGTCAATGTGGGACAATATATTTATTTAACAATAAAGCAGAGATGAAAATACCAATTTGCTCCCATAGGTTGCGGCGTATGACCTACAACCATTGCTCTAGCACCTATTGCCGCAAGTGTCTCTTCAAGAATAGATTGGATCTGACAAAAACCAAATATATAATTTAAGTAACTAAACAGCACTGAAAATTGAAACACCTCGGAGAGAAACTGCATGTAGCGCTTAAGAAGTTAGATATAGTTAGGTAAGAAGTAATGCAATGTAACTAAGTATACTTTTAGTATAGTTTTACACTACACATGCATTTGATTTTACACTGCATTAGACTTTACCAAACTAACCTTAAGGTACACTAACCTCGCTCATCTCATAGTTTTCTAAACATGAATCGTCCTTGGAGTACAATCGGCTCCATACAACACTGTCATAGCCACTAGTAGCTATAAAAGGAATCTTTGGACGATCTTTTCCATCCATAAGACCTCTCATCCAATGACAAACTTCTTTATTAATTCTCTCTATGCCATATGCAACTGCAAGAGTGAAAAAAATTCTACAGCTGATCACAAATGTTTCAAAGAGTACCAAAATCTATACAACTTTTACCATGATGAGGATGAGTGCCACCATGGCAGAAGATCCAGTCGTTGACCTTGAGAATCACACCATGGCTTGATAACTCAGTGGCTAATGGACCACCAGGCCTTAAGAGGATTGACCGTGCAGTTACACCTTTCCGCCGCTGGCCTAATATTTAGAGGACGTAATAAGAGAAATACATCGAAGGGACAGAAACCGCATGGTAAGAAGGGTCAAATATTTATATTACCTCGGGTCCGTTTGGAACCTATTAAAATACTAAGGAAATAAAATTCGAATGAAATAGAGAGGAAGCTTTGGAAGGAAATAAAATTTGAGGGGGGAAAACTGGTTCAAACTCAATAAATCAATTTTACATAGGTATTAAAATTATAAATGTGTGGAATCTCAAAGCGTTACCACTTTATTTGGTTTTCAGTAACACTTTCCGATATAAAGTCATTTTCCATTTTTTTCTTTCGCTACAGCATTCTAATATGGAACTATAGGGTAGGGATAGAACAGACCTTACCAAATTTGGAGCGATCCCACAAACTTTGAGACATCTTCCTTTCCCGCTTCCACCTATCACGCTCAGAAAACCAACCAGGGAAAGCTTTTTGCCAGTCATGTCCATGTCCTTTCAAGTATTCAAGGAAGTATGTACATTCGTCGAATGCTCCAGGATCGGCAAATCTGAAATCCCCTTCTACATTCATGGTTTCATGATTTCCAATGAGCTACAATGACCAGAATAAGAAATTAAACTTCCACCCATATTACTATAATGAACTTGTTGATCTAAGGTTCAGCAGTTCTCGCATATTTGCACTTGTAAATGCAACAAAGGATTAAACTTGAAAACCTTCCAAGTAATAAATGGCTAAAGAGTTGCCATGGGTAGGAATGAATGTGAAATTTCTACGGACAGGACCATCCTCCCCGTCCTAGTTTCACCATTAGAATTCTTTCACCACTCCACAGAAAACCTCGTGCAAAATGTGCCCTAACATAATATTCCCTATGTTCCTAAAGGATCCGTTTGGACCTGAGAATAGGAAGGAAAACTTGATGGGTGGTAAAGATAAGCTCAAAGGATCCTATGTTCCTAAAGGATCCGTGGTAAAGATAAACACAAAAAAATTGGATTTAGATCACTGTTCAGATTCTGAATACTTTACTAACTTAGGACCTGGAAAACAGCTCCACCATGGGCTTTTGCTTGAAAACTCAATGACTTCAACAAGGAAAAGATCGCCAGTTCATCTTCTCCACGATCAAGTATATCTCCAAGCTGAACTAACACCTGGATGGAAATTGAAGGAGTGATGTAATTTCGAAATCTAAAAGTAAAATAATGTGTGAAGAACCGGGGATGATGTTAGGGATCAGAAATTGCAAATTCATACCGTTTCTCCACCGATCCACGAGTCCTGACCATCAGAACTCAAAACACCGGCGATATGGAATGCACGCCTCGCCTTATCAATATCTCCATGCAAATCCCCGACTGGAAATAGTGTAATAAATTACTTAGAAACATGTAAACGGGCGTTAAGTTTACCCGGAGTGGTTATACTAATGAGCCGACCAACATTAAGAAAAAATACCGGCGATAATTCTGCGACCAGGAGCAGAGACGAAAGTAGGCGGATCGCCATTGACGATAATGGGCTTTAAGCTTCCCAAGCCACCATCGTGATTGTTGTGCACAGCTAAGGTGTCTACTGGCTTACTTGGTAGTGATTGCGATGATTTGGTAACCTTAGATGGTATGAATTGTGGAGCCGAACATTTTAGGGACAGAGTAGCGGCCATTGCTTGTGGAACAGAGTCACAGACCAGTCTTTCATCTGCTTTGCTTCTGTTTTACTCCGCCCAAATTGCCACACGTTTTGGGTTGGTTTGGGTTGTTAGATATGGGGTATTTTTCACAAATAGACTTACACGTGAAAATAATATCACCTTTTTCACTTTTTAAAACTTTTTTCAAATATAGCTACTGAATAGTTTTTCTTTCAAAAATGGATCGTCCGTGCGAAGCACACTTACTACTTACCACATACACTGGTTTCTCTTATCCCTGGTCCTATTAGGATACGTGAGTTTTGAGCTGCACTACTACTTCCTTTTTCCAAAAACTTATATGGAGTAAAATATAGGAATCACTAATTTTTCTTATTTTAAATAGAAAAATGTAAAATCTCTAAAAGATGATAATGTCTAGAATAAAATGCATTCTCAAAAATAAAAGTGAATTTGAAAAACAACCAAAATCTCAAACTCAAAAATAACAACTAGTAAAAAACAAAAATTGAATCATAATAAATTAAATTTAAAAAAGAATTGATATTTTAAATTAAAAAAAACATGCAGAAGAATACTTTAAAAAATCTGGAAACAAACGTAAAAAGGTTTAAAATAATTAAATACTTAAATAAATGGGAAAATTACAAAAATGTATAAATGGTTAATATAATTAATATAGTATATAAAAAAGTGAACGTTTAATTCAAAAAATACTTACAAAATAGTGAAAAAAATAAAATAAAAGAACTTATAATGATAAACGAAATATTTAAAATAAGATAAAAATGTTACATTTAAAATAAGATAAAAATGTATTAAAACTGTTAAATAGTATGAAAAGTAATTAGAAACTCATGTACAAAAGTAATTGTTTTGAAAAACTTGGAAAATATGAATATTAAAAATCGAGTAAATATTTAAAATTTGAAAATTTTAAAATATTTTAAATTAAATTTTTATATGATAAAGAATAGTAAAGTTAAAATAAACTCATTGAATAAAAATATAAAATAGTTCGTATTAAAATAATGAACTTAAAAAAATTCAAAAATAAAATAAAATAAACATGAATTTTGCAATGTATTATCTCTTGAAGCACTTAATTGTTGTAATTTTAATTATCACCTTATTGTTAATTTTTGTATCCTGTTGTTTTTTTGTGTTTCTTTTTGTTGACAAATTTTGAAATTTTTGTTTTTTAGTGTTTCTTTATGTTTCTATTTGTTGCTTATATTTATAAATCCAAACTTTAAGAAATTAAAAAAAACACGAATTTCATAATGTATTATCTCTTGAAGCACCTAATCATTGTAATTATTATTACTAGTATGATTTTATTTTTAGTTTTTGTTTCCTATTGTTTTTTTGTGTTTCTTTTTGTTGACAGTTCTGAAGTTTTTGTTTTTTTATTGTTTCTTTATATTTCTAGTTTTTTATATTTATGAATCCAAATCTATCATTATTTTAGATTTATGTATATAAATCTATTAAGATATTTTTGTTTTAAGGAAGGAGCAAAGGTAAATAGAAACTTAAATAAACTAAAATAAATAAATAATAATGAGCAACATGGTGAAACAAAAAGTAACATGATACAACAAAATGAAACATGATGCAACAAAATATAAATACATGTGATACAACAAAAATCAACAAAATTAAAATAAAAAAAAGCATTACAACAAATCTAAATTTTAATCTATTGCTACAATATAACACATTTGTTTATAATGTTATTTTGGTTTTGCTTCATATCATTTCTTCTTCTATATGTCACCCTTACTCACATCGGTGTTGGTGTGTCTCACCAAAGCTGGATTTTGATTCAAATAACACTGTTTTCCTTCTCCGTGTCGGTTGATGGCAGTTCATTCCTCAAAGATACCTATCTTTCAAGTAAAGAATAACTCAACCATATTTTGTGTTGTGAAATACTTTTCTGAGCAATGCTGATCCTGAATTTGAGTCTAACACATCCATTGAATTATAAGGTACCAAGGCTAGAGAAGTACACATTTTGCCACTATTTGACAATGGTAGCTGTGTGAAAGAAATGTCCTCTGAATCTGCCTTTGGAGGGAAACTCAAAGGACTTTAAGTCAAGGTCTTACTCTTCAAACTCAATTCAAGCACATCAAACATGTGTGATCCCTGACCAATAGAAGTAGTTTCTATTTTGTGAAACACAACCTTACCATTATTGAAAGCAATAACGGAGAATCAGAGATGCTCTTCCCAACCTTCCTGACACAGTACTTAGCAAGTGAGTCCGATGATCTAATACTATGGTGGGTGCTTGAAGTACCAACAACCAAAATTAGTGCTTTGTAGATAATTGCATCACTAGCCAAAATTTTACAAGCTGACGACCCTCTACACACCTTGAACATAAGATTAACCCGTTTCAAGTTGCAGAAATAAAGTAACTCAGCCATAATAAACTAAGCTAGTACACTCTATAAGAAATTATTACCTACTGGGGATTTCCTCCCCAAAGAGAGTACACAATGAATACAAATACAAATAGTACTTCCACAATTTCTACATTGGTATTCAATTATGACAAAAGACTGCAGCTAAACAATAGATGCTTGCAAAACTAAAGATTAAGAAATAAATAAAACAACCAAAAAGACTGTTGAGGCAGATGACAAAAAGTAGAACACTCACTGCTGCCACAACAAATGTCCCCAGAACAGCAAAAGCATCAAATTTAGAACTGCCAAAGCAACCAACAAAACACTTAAACTGACACAAGAAAAGTAATGCAAATAGGTTCAACCCTGTTTGGTACACAATAACGACTAGGAAGCCATAATTTACCTGGAAATTATATATATAATATTTTAAACCAAAGCTTAGACTATGAGCATTAAGCTAAAATAATTTTTCATGCTTTTCTTTTCATGAACAGAAGTTGAAAGCTGAAGAGGACAGACAACTGATCTCTTAGATCCATAATTTCTGGTATCTATAATAATCACAAAGAAGTATGGCCACAAAGAAAGAATCTCCACAGTCAACCGAAAAGTAAAAAACAATTGAAATAACTTCCATAAGCTTCTGGACCAGAACATGGATAAAAATATAATCTAGAAACTAAGTAGTGCTGAAAATGTCATAAAGTAGGAAGAAGAAAAGTTCCAGAAACCTAACATGTAATGTTTTTTCTCGGACGAGGACATGAATAAAAATTTAATCTAAAAAATGAAAAAAATATCAATTGAGGCAACCAAAATTGATTCAAAGAAATCTTAAATTCGTGTTGAAGAGTCGTCCTTGAGAAAGATTACCTACGTACATAGACAATTCAAATCATGTAAATCGGTTCTTTGATTTAGTTCTGGATGTTTGTTGCGATAGGGGATCGATCGATCCTGGAAAGTGTGTCGCGATCTGTGAACATCTCCAATCGTAGCCTCTGGAAGCTGAGATGCGATCTCCCATTCTCCAGGTGTTGCGCCATCCGCTCCAGCGAGAATCGGAAGAACACTGTGGCGATAACTCCATCCATCCTAATGTCGATGATAACTCCCATGATTTCGGATACTCAGATTGTAAGATGCGGAGGTATTTGGTGAGAAGAGAAGGGAGAGTGAAGTTAGATAGTCCGAGAGCAGAGGACAGATGAGGTTTGAATGTACGTATTGACGTTGGGAGCACTGGAGCAGTATCTAAAACTGAAATTAAAAATTGAAATTGAAAACAAAAAAGTTTAAAAATGAAAAGAGAAAGTGGCAAGAACATAAATGATATGCTACCATCAAAAGTATACTAAACGGGTAATTTCCACTTAGATATTCTAGTTATCTAAAAGAAAGCTAAAAATGTGTTTGTTGATATAAAAATTAAAAAGTGCTTTAAAAAGTGGGAATATATTAGCTTCTAAATACTTCTAGTTGTACTTGTATTTGAATAATAATAATGTCAACAAAATCTCAAAAACACCAAAATACCCAGTAATAATTACAACTTATCTGTCCCATAGTCATGGACATCCGTTCATTCCATCAGGTTAAAATTATGTTTTTACACGATCTACTTGCATAGTCTCTTTTATATAGAGATGAAATCCCTAAAATTCCTCCCTTTCTCTATAGTTTCGTCCAGCTAGATAGGAATGATACTCACACTATGAAAGAATTGAGGATGCATGTATCAGTGCATGTATGTATCTTAAAAAGTTTTTCTAGGATTTGCTCGATTTTTGTATGGAATTATGAATGGTTTGTGAAAATTTTACCGAATTTCAGTTTCATAGTAAAGATTACAACATGTTTGTAAAAATGTCTGTGAGATTTTAAGTTGAACCTTACATTTTCCACGCAAATCATAATCAACCCGTTTTATTAATGAGGGAAAAGGATCGTATAAGTCCCTTTACAATTTCAATTTCATCATGACATGTACTCAAAAATGCATCGTACTAGTCCATTTACAGGAAGGTGATTGTTTTTGCCTGTATCGTGCTCTCTCAATATTTCTATGTTCACTACACTATGTTTGGAACATTGGATCATTATTAAAGGAGTAAATTGGTATGAGTAATAAACAGTATAGAAAAGGTAGGAGAGAGTGTGTAAAAGTACGAAAAAGAGAATAAAAATAGATAAAGTAATGGTAGTTGAATATTTTGTAAATGATAAACTTACCAAAAATGAAAGTGTAGCAAATTTTTAAATACATCTCAAAAAGAAAAGTGTAACAAACATAAAAGGGAAAACTGTCAAATAGGTACTCGAACTTTCATAAAAAGGTCAATTAAGTCTTTTTATATGAAGTTCTGTCCGGCCGTCGCGATTTGGGGCAGTTCCCGGTGGAATTTTTTGATGAAATGTTTTGAGCATCTTATTCACCAAGTCTAGTTTACTCATACCAAATTTCAGCTAAAAATTCAATCGGGAACACATTCAAATTAATTCTTGAAGATAACTGCGCATTTTTGCGTTCTCGAATTAATTTGAATGCGCTTCCGATTAAATTTTTAGCTAAAATTTGGTATGAGTAAACTAGACTTAATGAATAAGATGCTCAAAAAAATTCATCAAAAAATTCCACCGGGAACCGCCCCAAATCGCGATGACCGGACAGAGTCTCTTATAGAAGGACTTAATTGACTTTTTTATGAAAGTTCGAGGACCTATTTGACAGTTTTCCCAACATAAAAATACTGAGGGAGTATGTAGTAATACGGAGTATTTTTTTAATTTTCCTTTTTTTTCATTATTTTTCTTTCTCTTACATGCTTCCTTTTTTAAATTCCTGCTCCCAACTCTTCCTTAAACATTAGATAAGTGAAAGTATATTCATCTAACATTCTAAAATATACAATTATTTCCTTCAAACTTAAACAACATTCACTCCATTAATAACACATCACAATTGAAATTTGGGCCCCATTTGATGATATTGAAATCGACTGAATTTGCAGAGATTGATAAAGTTTTGGCTAAAATGGCTAATTTGATTGAATCTGCTGACTTAAAATAGTATTTAAAATACATCTTATTAGTTAAATGAATAAAAAAATTATGAAGAGATGCTTAAGTGGCCATCTAAAGTAACTTCATCCAATTTAACCAAAAATGTAAGTTCAACTTTACTTATTTTGATTATAAAATAATTTTGTGTGTGATATAAAAAATTATTTGTTTGATGCAAAAAATGACTCACAAGGTTAAAAGCTCGTTTGGTAATACCCAAATTGGCTGTATTGATTGATTCTGCTGAAGTTCTGGCTGAAGTGACTAGATTGGCTGTTTCTGTTGAAATTTATGGAGTTCTGACTGAAGTGGCTAGATTGACTAATTCTGCTAAGAACTATAAAAAAATTATATATATTATATATTTTATTAATAAAATAAAGAAAAAAATATATGAAAAAATAACTAAAATTTTTATCTACAATACTTCAACCAGCCGAAAAATAACTTCAAACCAGAAGAATCGATGAAGCAGGCGACCCTTCTAGCAATTTTCTCGCCGTAGCTGCCGAGCAATCACCAGGCTCTTCAGTCCACACTAGTCCATGTTAACCTCACAGTACTAGTTCTCATTCTGTCGCCCAGCGACGAAACCGTGACAACGAAAGTTTGAAGAAGGCTTTCCGTATTTGGTTGTCTGTTTTGGCAACAAAAGTCCATTTCTAGCCGTGAGGACTCCGATTGTGTTGGCTCTGCGTCTTACAGCTCAGGTAAACTGAGCAGTTTTTGAATTCCTGTTGCAAAGTGCTCATTATCTTGAAGCCGGATATCTTTAAATTTCATCTATCCGAATTCGAGATGTTATATACTCTGGAATATTGGTTTGTTGGCCGTGTTCTGAGTTGATGATCGTATATGTGTAAAAATAGTATATTACCAATCTATTGTTTCCTTAAGGCAGTGTTTGTAAGCTTTTTGGACATGATGTAGGAAATTGAATTAGTCAGGTCAACTAGAAAGCTACAATAAGGATGCTTACCACCCTCCAGCCTGCACACATCCCCCAGCTTCCCTGTATCCATTCATCTGTTCGCTATAGCAGACACAGCAAACTAATAGCTTCAGTTGCTTGGAAGCATGGTATGTCCACTAACCTCTCTTCTCTCTTCACATCTCTTCTTATTTACTCTATCCTAGTAGCAATTTAAACTTTGTGCCATTAATACTGCGATGTGTTGATTAGATTTGTGAAATCTGGGATTTTAATTTTCACTCCGATCGACTGATGGTCAAGTGGTCTATACTCCACAGGATTGCTTTTACTGAGCTCTACAAACCGCAAAGTTGGCTTAAGATTTTGGCTTTATTTTGTGCAATGCGTGCTTTAACAAAAGACTCCCTCCTTCCCATATTTAACTCCTATTTTGGCTTTGGGTGGTTTTTAAGAAAATGGAAATTGTGTGTTTGAAATTTGTTTAGTGGAGAGAGAAACAGTATAAAACGCAAAATCTTTTCCTTTAAAGGAAATGAGACGGGATATGATCTAGGGATGATCTAAAGAAGAAAGAACAAAGATTATTTTGGGACAAAGGATGTAGTTTCTTAGAATTTGCAATGGAGTACTAAAAAAGATACCCGCCTTAGATTTCAAATCACTGTTTCTATATTGCTCCATTTCATCCTAAAGTTAAATTCATTACAACAGAATAACATTTTCTACATTATTCTCTTGTTTTTTCTTTTACATACGATTGCAGATGAGATACCATTGACCAAGCGAATTCATACTTGTGCATCATGGCCTTCTTCCTGCTCTGAAATGAAGCTTAGTAGAATATCTGTAGATTATGATAATATGTTCAAATTCATTAGATTGCCAAACTGCATTCCCTTCAGATCTGAACTTAGTGGTACTGACTCTACGAGTGCTGTCCCTCCACTTTCAGGTGCAATTTGAGGCACTTTCACCCTTTCCTTTTCTTCTCGTTGTTCATTCAGATTTATGATATTTAGTTTTCATAAGTCTTCCCCTCTTACAGATATGCATTTGGATTCAAAACTTAGAGGGATTTGCTTCTATGCTGCTACCTCTTTATCTGCCATTTTTTTGTTTGTGGCAATGGTTGTTGCACATCCTTTTGTTCTCTTATTTGATCGCTACCGTCGAAAAGCTCATCACCTTGTTGCCATGGTCTGGGCAAAATTGACAGTCTCCCCATTTTACAAAATTGAGATTAACGGATTGGAAAATTTGCCACCCAATTATGCGCCTGCTGTGTTTGTGTCCAACCACCAGAGCTTTTTGGACATTTACACTCTCCTTACTCTTGGGAGAAGCTTCAAATTTATAAGCAAGACTGCTATTTTCTTATTTCCGATCATTGGCTGGGCCATGTATCTGATGGGAACTATTCCTTTGAGGCGTATGGACACTAGAAGCCAAATGGTATGTATGATGCTTACTTGCTCTGTCCCATTTTGATGTCCTTTTCGTGCAACAAATCAAGACAGAAGTTGTTTATAATGCTTTTTTGTTTTTTTCAATATGTTGCTCATTCCGTTCCAAATTACATGGGATTTTCGGATCAAAGGAGTTTACCCAACTTATTTACAATTCGTTTGTAGTACTATTTAATTAGTCATTGCAATTAGAGTTAAGAGTGGTATATTTTTAACTTCATGCCACCAACCCCAGTTAGTGTGAATCAAGGATGTGAAATTATTTAAATTACCCTAAAAGTTCTATTAGATCCAGGAATTGAATTTGAGTATGATTATGAATATATGGTAACGTCTGTTATGACATTGAGGGAGTAGTAAACAAGAATTTGTGAGTACATAAAGGTTAAAGACCCGTTTGGGTGGTTGTTAATTGCAAGGTTTTGGTTTTTAAAATTCCAAAGGGGGGATTTGACCTTTCAAAATTAACATTATTGGTATTTGTATGAGCAGTTTTGTTTATTATACAACATGTATCATGTAGCATTTGAAATTGTAAATCAAAACTTGTAACTCGCAACCTCCCCAAATGAGGGTTTGAGGGAACAAATGAAATGAGATGGATAGAGTAAATAACAGTTAAAAGCTAAGTGAAGAAAGTGGGTTGTTCACCAATGAATAGTAACTAGTAGGTAAGATGGAGCTGATAAAGTATATTTACTAGTGCTACCATGACTTAATCTTATCAGAGCAACTATAATGTATTGAAAATATCTTAAGCTTTGTTTCTCATCCAAAAACATTGCGCTCTCTTCCTCATTTCTTATGGATCATATTTTTAAGTTTTTTTTTTTTAATTTAAAAATGATTCAGGACTGTCTTAAGAGATGCATGGATCTTATCAGCAAGGGAGCGTCTGTATTTTTCTTCCCAGAGGGTACTAGGAGTAAAGATGGAAAGCTAGGTGTATTCAAGGTAAGGCCAATGCTTTACTTCTGCATTATGAACATAAACAATTTGGGTAATTGACTGGTCATTAGGAAAGAGAAGGGTTTGTGTATGATTAGCATAGGCCATTAGCATTAGAATACATTCCTATTTCTCTCAACTGTAGTCATCTTTCTACTTTTAGTCATCGACTTTGTTATCTTTCTCATTTAGTCTTCATTTTTTTCTGAAAAATATCATTTTTATTATTTTACTCCCTCCATCATACATAGCAAGATAAATTTGGGTTTGGCACGGACGCACAGATTTTAACGAAGTATGTACTTGTTCTTTTACAATTTTTACCTCCATGCAAGTTAGAAAAAGTAGTATGATCCACAAAAAGTAAATATGTAAAATGATAAGTGAAGTGGTAAAGTAAAAAGGTAGTGGAGTTCAGTTTAGGAAAGTGTTCATATTTTTTGGACAACCCGAAATGGAAACTGTATCTTATAGAATGGGACGGGGAGGGAGTATCAAATCTCCAAAGTGAGTCCAAAATACGTCCAAATGTAGTTTTTACAATGTTATAATATGCTCACTAAGTGATGAAATTGGGATAAGATTGTAATGTTTTGAATAATCGAGCACAAAGAAGGAAATTTCAGTTTGAGGACAAAAGTCAAAGCACCACTACAATCAAGGGACCAAATGGAAAGTATACTCTATAACCCCGTTCCTCTTCCAAAAAGGTCATTTAAATTTTATATTTGGATTTCGCATGTTGGATGTGTTTAATTTGAAGTTTAATTAACTTTAGTGACCTATATTATACTCATCTTGTTCTAACATGTATCAATGTATCTTATTATCTTGTTATTATTTTGATATCTAAGAAAGGGGCATTCAGTATTGCTGCAAAAAGTGGAGTTCCTGTTGTTCCAATTACCCTTATTGGAACTGGTGAAATTATGCCAGCAGGAATGGAAGGCATGGTAAATTACGGGACAGTTAAAGTTGTCATTCATCAGCCTATCGAGGGAAGTGATCCAGAAGTGTTATGTAGGGAGGCAAGGAATGTGATAGAAAATCAACTTGCACTCCACTGATGAGAGAGATATACATTGTTCTTTTGTTTCATTTTATGATCCAAAGGGTTTTTTGTCTGGGCATAAAACTTTACTTCTGCACTTCTTCAAAGAGTAGAATCAAAGAGTAGAATGTTACGGGTCACTACTTCAAAGAACGACCTCCACATACTCTGCACCAATGCGCGTAGTGCCTGCATGTCGTGTGTGGTTGCCCTGACATTGGATGGAGCTGCTCACACTGATTTAGGCGTGGATATGGTCCGGTCCTGGGCCATAAAGTAAAAAACAGAGGATCGAACAGGAATCAGAATTGACTGGTTGAATCATGATTTGGAGGAACAAGACAGGCATATAGCCTCCCTCAGTCCCTTGTATGAGTAGGAACTGGGAGTTCAAATCCAATGGTCGGGGAGTCGTGCAACACTACCTACGTGGGTAGTACCCCGTATCAATGTAGCCCGGTTTCAGATCACATTTATCTTCTAAGAGGATATGATAGTATGATACTATACCCTAGAGATTTATAAACTAGTGAGTAAAGTAGTAAACCATATGCTCACGAATCATTCCAAATTCCATAATTTATTTGAAAGAATCGACTGGAATATGGAATAAAGTTCTTAGGTATCTGTGGGACTCACTCCCATAATTCAACTGAGTGACAACATAATAAATGTATTATGAAAATAATAACAAAATCAATGTTTGAGACAACAAAATTTAATATTGGAATATATTATCATAAGATTGAGATTATGTATAGTCAACAGCAGGGCGGGGCCAAGGGGAGTTAGGGTGGTTAGCTGACCCCGTCGCTGAAAGTTTGAGAATATAGAGCTCTGAAATATCTTCGATTTGATACATTATGATTTATGGCTTCTGTAACTCATTACGAGTAAAAAATTATGACTTCTGAAAAATTAGCATTATTTAAACGTAAAATTAGCAAAATTTGATGCATACTATAGATTATTTTTCCAAATTTTAAAAATGGGGTATAATTCACTCAATACTTACGTGACATGACTCAGAAGCAGTGCAAAGACAATTTATCTTATTGCTACGAGTGTCTATTTATCTAAATTGCGCATGAAATATTCAACCCGGACATTGTTTAAAAACGCTCCACCATTTTCATTGTGTATATAGATTGAGTTTCGACCTCCGAACCGTTTTTCTGGATCCGTCACGGTGGTATACTGGTATGCATATACTTTTGTAAACATATATGCATCTTAAATTCATTGTTGATCTAGTAATAATTTAATACTAGGTAACTGATGACTCATTTACGCATATGAATACAATAATTTGAGATAATGTATTCATTTGGACAACAGAATGACAAATTAATCTTGAAGTTAGTTTTAGATTTATATAGCTATACACCCAAAAAGGAAAAGAAAAAAATGATTTTGCTTCTGGTACACGGTGGCGTGTATAAAGCGCTAGTTTTTCGTTTGTGAATTTTTTTTTTTCTATATCACGGACTAAAATGTTTATAGACAAAAAACCAGGCATGTAAACATGACGCGTACAAACTGGCGTGCACAGGTAGTAAATTTGTAGGAAAAAATTGGCGGAAAGAGCAGTGATGGCCACGGGAAGAAAGGACGGAGGGGCGGGACTCAGGAAAAACTAATACTCCCTTCTTTCCCCTAATAAGGTCTCACCTTTCCTTCGCGGTGCATCCCACTGAGGATGTTTTTATTTGGGATGTTATTGGTTTCAGATCAGACTATAATAGATCAGACTTGGTCAATTATAAAATATCGAGACCAAACATTTATTAGATCATACCAGATCACACCACACCAAACCAGAAAATTCTAGTCTGAGTAAAAATATCTTATGAAGATATTATGTTATACCAAAATTGATAAAATTTGTGCGATTCTAAATCTTTTTTTTTATTTATTATTGCTTTATTAATTTAATATTAATACAATAGACTCAGGTTCTTAATAAGTCCATCACCTCTTCTCTCAATGTTAGTGAGGCTGAGGTAGTACTTTTTTCTGTAAAGGGTTATACTTTTTTTTTGCTCCAATGTTTACAAAAAAAAAATATCAAAACTCAAAACTTTTTATGATCAAATTGAATTTATGCGTCATCATCCCATTTTTGAGTTTTTTGATAAAAAATATTTTTGGTGCTTAAACCTCTCTTATTCTTGTAAAACTCTGCATTATTAGATGAATTAAATTTGTTTCATTTAACTTTTTATTTTTTTACTCATCCCATTTTGATTATTTTACTTTCCTTTTTGTATTATCCCAAAATTAATGGTATGTATCTATAAAACTTTACTTTATTCTCTTCCTACTTCAATCACAATTATTATTTTCCAATCATTCTATTAATAATTATTCCAAACTAAATGAAGAGGAGGTAGTTCATTATTTTTATTGTGGTTATGGATTTTTAAAATGTATGCTGGCATCATTAAAAGAAAGTGTGGATTTTTTCAAGCGTATGGAATCCATACATACTACCCACTGAAAGTCTGAAACGGCAAACTGAAACTACCAAGACGAAGAGATATCAGTGACCATCCGCGACACGAGATGAAAAAGCTAAAGCTAATGGCGCCCCTCAAATGTGGGAAGCCAACGGCCAAGAAGAAAAGCAACGAAGCAAAGCACAGAGCATTTCGCTCTCTAGCGCACGTCCAATCCATTCCATCACAGAATCACACGATTACAGTTAGGGTAATCGTCGCCCAGATCGGGGGTTTTCTCCCTTTTCCATTTCCTCCATCTGTAACGCCCGCCGATGATGAAATGTGCATAGCCTCCTAGAAGGGGAGTCCATAGCAATGGCGAACACGAGTTATATACCGCATAACGAAACGGAACTGATCAAGAGTGGGCTTTTGGTGTGCCTTCCATTGCGCGATACCCATACCCGCAGTGTCTTCTATGGAGACAGCCCTCTGGATCACACCATGCCCCTTATCTATGCGGAGCTCTCTGTCATCATTCTCATAACCCAGCTTCTCCGTGTTCTTCTCAAGCCACTCCGCCAGCCCAGAGTTGTCTCTGAAATCATTGTGAGTCCATTCTCGGAATTTTCATTGCGTTCTTTGCATAATTATTACAGTGCTTGAAAACATGTACAAGCTTATTAGAAATTTAGAATTCATAATTTTATCAAATTAAGCTATAATGAGATAACTGGAATAGAGAATGGTATCAACTTCTGTAGTTTGGTTGAATTTGGTTTAATTTGTTGGAGTATTATTCCATTTTTTTATGATGACCAAATTACCTATGAAGTCCAAGCTTGCATGGGAAACCATCTCGATCTCTTCCCAACTTTGAATGAAAAGATAACCATCAAGGGCTAAGGCTATGCATGGAGCAAAAATTGTAGGAAAGGGAAGAAGATCCCAAGGAAAATAGCTATTCAATATTTGGATTCACATGGGAAAATATAAAGGAAAATCAAGTTCCATAAAGTCGTTTTTATATTTTGTTACATATAATTACATTTTTTAGTCTTTATATAATAGAAATATCTAAATATGACCAGTTTAAACAATACTTAAATCAGGCTTATTGAGTTTGAACCACTTCCCCCAAACTTTAATTCTATTTCCCTCTTTTTTTTCCTCAGCATCTATGGCTTTCAAATGAACCCTAAACGAAGCTGAGCAAATATTATTTAACTCCTAAAAGGAGAAAGATTTCCAATGAAAATTTATTCAAAATTACCAAACTAGAGAATTCCTTTAATTTGAGAATTGATGGGAGGAAGGAATAAGTGTCCATTTCCCACAAGGCCTTTAACTAATTCTCCATCTGTCATATAAGAAACCTTTCACTTGTTTTTTACACGGAGTTTTAGAAAGTGAGATTATGTGTTAGAAATTTATCTATAAAATGGAGAAGCAATTTCAACTTTATTTAGAAGATGAAGAGTTTACTTTGGGACATCCTAAAAGGAAAGTGGGATATTCAATTTGGGACAAAGAGAATAAATTGATTCTATCATTGCATATATCAGTGTTTCTAATTGATCTTTTCTCTTTCTGCTGCAAGGGAGGGGTAATTATAGGGCCATCAGTTTTAAGCCGAAGCAAGAAATTCCGTGACAAACTTTTCCCAGAACGAGCTAAATTTATCACGAGAAATGTAGGACTTCTGGGGTTCATGTATTTCCTCTTCCTGTCTGGGGTCAAGACGGATTTGTCCCTTTTGAAGAAGGTAGGGAAAAAATATTGGTATGCAGCTGGATTCATAGTTGTTCTTCCTTTGCTGTGTGTTATATTTGTTGCAATCCCTCTCAGAAAGTCAATGGAGAAAGAGGTTGCAAAAGTCTCTTCCCTTATTGGAATTGCTTCCGAGTTTGCAATAACATCTTTTCCTGTTATCTACCCTATCATCAAAGAGTTCAACCTCCTCAGTTCAGAAATGGGAAGGACGGCATTGTCCGTTGCCGTTGTCAGTGATGTGATTGGCAACCAATTTTTACTGATATTTGACGCATCCAAACAAGGAGAAGCAAAGAGTTCAGCTGCTTATTGGTTCACACTTTCTACGATAGTTATGATGGTATCCGTCTTTATAGGTCTTCGACAAGCCATGATTTGGATAGTACGTATAACCCCAGAAGGGAAACCCGTTGATCAGATTTACGTGATTGCCATATTATTAGGAGTCATGGTTATTGGCTTTGTATGTGATTTTACTGGGATACCCATTGCCAACGGGCCCTTATGGCTTGGATTGGCAGTTCCTGAAGGCCCTCCGTTGGGAGAAACTATAGTGGAAAAGTCTGAGACGTTTATTTTGGACCTTCTAATGCCCTTTTCATACGTATACGTTGGGTTGATCACAGATGTATCCACTATAAGCAGTCATTGGTCTATTTTGCAACCTCTTTTCATAATTGCTGTAGTGGGTTATATAACAAAACTGCTTTCTGTTCTGCTGATCTCTAGTTTCTTGAACATGCCACTTCGAGATGGTCTTGCTCTTAGCCTTATTTTGAGTCTGAGAGGTCAAACTGAAGTTTTGTTGTATTTGCATTGGATCGAAGTAAAGGTAACCATTCTCGCTTGTTTCTTCACCATTCTCACCCCTCCAAAAAAAAGTCATGCTTGACCATTGCACAACCTTACAACTATGTGCATATAAAATTTATTTGTTGGTTCAACAAAATTATCACATGCAACTAACATATGCTATGATTTCACACGCAAATTTTAATATGTTTTCTCACACAATATTTGGTCATATATGTGTGGTTTAGAGTCATTCATACTTTCAAATTCGTTATCTGCCACATACTTCTACTTCTCTTTGAATTGCGAGCTGCCTCTCCGTGTCCGAAGCAGATTGGGATGGAGGGAGCATTTGAAACATGACTTTTTCTTTTGGGGAGAAACAGAGGAGCGATTTTTTTATATTTGAAAACTGTGTGAATTCTTAAATCTCTGTTGCAGATGATAACACCTCCTTATTATGCAATGCTGGTAGTAATGACAGTGATGGTGACAGGCATAATCACTCCTCTGCTCAGTATAATATATGATCCAACCAGGCCTTACAGGGTTAACAACAGAAGGAATGTTCAGCACACAGCACCCAACTCTGAATTGAGAATCGTGACATGTATACACAAGGAAGAGAATGTTCCGGGACTGCTCAAACTCCTCGAACTCACCAGTCCAACGGTTAACAGCCCTTTCTCGGTTTATGCAATACACCTAATTGACTTAATTGGTCGCGCCGTCCCTGTTTTCATAGATCATCACGCCCATGATGGTCCAGCAAAAAAGAAGTCCAAAAAACCGGTTACTCAAAGCCCAATACACAACGCGTTGAAGCTCTTCCAGGAGGGTAGAGGTGAAGGAAACATCAAGATTCACCCTTACACATCCATCTCCCCGAAGAAGAGCATGTACCAAGACATATGCGAGCTGGCACTCACGAAGAAGGCCTCTCTCATCATATTGCCGATCCACAGAGATGTGGTTCCTGACGGGTTCCAAACTGTAAACTCTAGTGTACTGGCCCATGCCCCTTGCTCAGTCGCACTACTCGTCGACAGGGGTTTTGCTGATCAAAACCTCCGCACAAGGCAGCTCTCGAATTACCATTTCGCCTTCCTATTCTTAGGAGGAGCCGATTCCCGCGAGGCACTCGTTTGTGCCGACCGGATGGCTTCCCGGCCTGAGATCTCCCTCACGGTCATCCGATTTCTCGCGCATAATGGGGAAGGTGATAATGAGATGGAGAAGAAACTGGATGATGGGCTGGTAACGTGGTTCTGGGTGAAGAACGAGGCGAACCGGCAAGTAGTTTACCGGGAGGCGGTGGTGAGGAATGGGGAAGAAACGGTTGCCGCGATTCAGGCCATGAAGGAGGATGATGATTACGATCTGTGGATAGTTGGAAGGAAGCAGGGGATTAATCCAGTGCTTTTGCAAGGGTTGACGAATTGGAGTCAGAACCATGAGTTAGGGGTTATAGGAGATTATGTGGCCAATACAAATTTAGGTGGCACAGCTTCTATATTAGTAGTGCAACAGCAGATTCTAAGAGGCAGGGAGAGTGCTTATAGTGCCTTAGTTGGGAAGTTTTCTTGGTGTTTGTAAGCATAGTGTAGTAGTAAAGATTTATTACTCTGTAGATACCACTGTTAGCAAAATGAAACACAGTAATTGTTTTAGAGTTTGACCTACTTGATGTAACATTTGCTTTCTGTTGAGCAAAGATTTGTTTCATGAAGTCGTTCTTTTTCCTTTACTGTAAATTATGCTTGACTAAGTTGACTTCAATGAAGTTGACATCTTCTTGAAGGATTAAAGACCGTGCTGAACTAGATAACATTGAGGTAAATTGTGAACATGATCCTGGTTTTTAACTAAGGAGGATCTGGTTGACTTGTGGTGTTTCCAAGTGCAGGCGGCATTCTGAGCTGAAGCAGCGGCGCAAGTATTAAACAAGCCCAATAAGTGCACTTTTTATTCGATGATGTGAATAAAAAGCAGTCAAAAAATCATTGAAAAAAACGTTCATTTTTATAAAACATGTAAATATGTATGTGTGTATAATGTTGTATCTGTTGCAAAAAAAATTGGAAGGGTCATGTTTTGAACATTTAAATTATCTATATCACAAAACAACATATTATAAAAAGAAATATAATATACGCATATGCAAGTTAACATCATCATCTTCACTTGATCTTTGGAACATTATTTTAATAAATATTAATTATTAAAGATAATGTTAAAGAATACTTGATGTGTTATTATTATCATTCATAAGTGGGGGGAAATCATGATAAAAAATATGATAACAAATCATGCTGAAACCAATGCCAATGGTCTACAACTCTCTAAAAAGAGATAACAGAGACAGCTTATTGTTAATAGTGTGTATAGAATAACTTGAATAGGAAAATTTATAGAGATTCTGCAGCATTCTGGGGAGAAAAAAATGCCTCAAAAAAAGGCGAGACCAAGGGGAAAATTGAACTACAAAATAGCAGAGGCTACAAATGAGATTTGAATGCCTGAAGTGATTTTAGTTTTGATTCACAAATTGTGTTGAATTCGTGTAACACTGAGACCTGACCACTTCTGATCTTCCTTGCCACGTCAGCGGGACTCCACGTCATCAATGCTTGCGAGACCCGATACCCCACCACATCATCATTTGCTGACGACGCCAACTTGTTTATGATCCGAAACACCTTTCCTGGCCCACCCTCAGTTTCTCCCCCCTCTCCATAAAGTGAAGAAAGTAAATTCTCCCACTCTGCACCTTCTTCAACTTTGCTCATGTGTTCTTTCAACCAATTCAACACGTACTCTAGAATGTCACATGCAGATTGGATGGAGACTTGTATTACTATTCCTTGAGAAACAATTGACTGGTCTTCTGAGTGGGCGCCTTTCTTTTTCCTCTTTCCTGAAGGGAAAGCAGACCGTGCATATGACTGCATGACCAGAGTGTGCCAAGCCATGGGTTCTGTTAGCAGTTGGACTAGGGTGTGAAAATCACTGCCTGATGATGATGGGTGTGCTCCGATGGATGTGATCTTTTCCTCTACACATTTTTTCAGCAATGAGCTCACTAGGTCCCACGTGGTAGGGGTTGTGGGTGACTCGTGAGATAATAGATCCCATGCGTTCAAGAAGACAACAAAATTCATCCAGCCAATCAGATCGTTGCTCAACTCCTATCATGTAGGAGAAGAATTATCGGGTTTAGCAAATGTATCACAATAAAACTAGAGATAGTCATGAATAAATCGTTTGTGTATCCAAGAAAGAGAAGGCTGATAACATAGATTCTTATTAAATAAAAAATGTGCAAAAGGAACTAAGATGGATATATTATACCGAAGTACTAATTTGCAAAGATTGTCTTTTTATCTTTTTCCTTTCTTATGTTTATCTTATATTTATCTTTATCTTAGCCATTTTATCTTACCTTTTTTCCTTTTACCTTTCTTCTCTTTTTCGCACTGATATCATGGATTGATTCATGTTATCTGACCTCGAATTCTTTTGGGATTAAGGCTCGGATGTCGTTGTTGTAGTAGTAATTTGCGAAGAATGGAATTTCTTTCATGAATAAAAGTATGCGAGTCCATAACTCAAGTAATCTGTATAATTAATTTACATTTTTTAATTTTTTCTTTATATTGTTGTTAGATTTTGTTCTTATAAAGACAGACTAATTGATTGTTAAATGTATTTCTTTTTATTAGTCTTTGGTTACAAATTACAATCATATGCTATTATTTTAGTATCTTTTAAAATTTGAGGTTTAAGCACTTTCTATTATAAAAAGTTGTTTGAAATGATTCCTAATACTACTATATGACTAAAATAAGTATGGTAGACAAAAAAGTGACTCAATAACAGTAATTACGACCATGTTCAATTTGTATATCGCATTGAGCCAGTGACCATAAAAATACACTCATACTAACTTTAGTCACATTTGTGTCTATATGTTATTTTTGGAAAGTTGTGTCTATTTGTTGTATTCTGGTAATTAGCTACTTACATGCTTGCATCTGGCAGTCCTAAGTATACCTCTAATTGAAAGTATACCTCTAAGTATACCTCTAATTGAAAATATACCTCTAAATGCCTGTGGCCACTCAGTACTCCAAATGCTAGCTCCAAAGCATCTTGGACTGAAAATCCCAAGGCATTGGCGTACTGATCAAGCAAATGCTTTAATTCTGATGAGAGGTTAGGATCAAAGGGTGAGGCATTGCTTTCAGTACATTCCTTCACTGATGTTGCAGCACAATGCATTGACAGATAAACCATGCGTGGGATAAGGGATCTCTTCTCAATGTTTTTAATCGTGTTGGCTTCTGATTTTTGGATTTGCTTATGCTGCAAATAACAGTTGACATGATGTTAGTTTATTTCCCTTCTTTATTTTAGGGAGGGGTTGCTCCAGCACCTACTAAAAATATAGAAGCATTCCCTACCATGATTTCTTTAGGACAACAGGATACTCCTTCAAATGTATCTGCAACCAAGAAAAACCAGCCTAAACACTTCACCAAATATCAAACAAACACTTGCACATACCAAAAGATTAAAGCAACGTGAACTGACCTAACAGATAATTTTTATCATATGTTGGAGTCCACCAAGGGCGTAGTTGTAAATCTTGATTGAATGTCAATGGCTTAATTCCGATTTCATTTAACAGTTCAAGGATCTGAGCTCCAGACTTCAAACTTTCTAAAATACACTTTTAAAATATATATACACTGATTTAGAGAAATAAAAAAGACAGGCAATTAAAATAAAATGCAAAGGTAACTTTAAGCACAACCATAAAAAAGGGAAATAGTTACCTCCTCTCCCTCAATGCTATTTGCGTTCTGTTTCATCTGCAAAATGGTTGCTTCAATCTTTGCCATCACATACTGACTTGAACGCTGCAACCGTTCTTTGAATTGAACAAACTCAATAGCCTAGACAAAATACAAGGACAATATTTAAGTGGTATGGCTTTTATTTTTAATTTTTTTAAACCTGTGGACTATGAGATAAAAAATAAAACAGAGATGTATAGAATTTAGGCAGAGCAGTCAACATACTTTTGAGTAATTCCTGTGACGGTAGGCAAGAAAGGTAAGATCAGCAGATTCTTTTAAGTGATCATCCATGAAATTCAAATAGCGCCTCAAAACATCACTAGTGTCTGCCCACAGTGGAGATGTCAACATCTGCGGTAAAATATGGTGACATGCAGTTTCCAGCAAAATATTCTTGACCTCCAGTGACTTGTACCTATAGAGAGAAAAAGAAGTAGTGAACATGCATGAAAATGTGAAATATTAGCTAAAATATCCCCATTATGGTCAAACATAAGAGTAATACAGTATACTAAAAGTCACCATTCATAGGCCAATGGAAGACAGCACCAGTGAGAATATAAATGCAACAAAAGGATCTTATACTGGAACACGTATCTGTTATCAATAAAAATATGAAGATCATATTAGACACAAATCAAAAAGACAAAATATAAATTCTGCTATATTAAAAAGACAGTGGAAACTTAATCATTAGTTGGTCTGTAGGGTCATTTTAGTTTTTGACATGTGCACCTAAAACAACATTTAGTGTGTGGATATAAGGTTAACAAAAAAACTAACTAAATAATACAAAAAACAGTTACCTGCGGACTGTCAGACCAAATTCTAGAATCAAGATCGACTCTAACAAATAGCCAAGATTCCTTGTACGCCAGAAAAGCTACAGCAGATGGAGAAGATAAGGTAGATATTGTATGTTTAACAAGAAAAGAAAATCAACCCCTCATATTCCTTGCATAGAGCATTGCAGAAAAGAGAATGTCTTAACAGAAAAGTTATGTTTGTTAACATAAGAGCATAGCAGCCTAGTTCTGTTTATATTTAAAATATTTTAATCTTACATTTAAAAATCCTATTATTTGTGGGAGATTAAAGTACCTGAACTAACACATTGCATGTCATAGTCAAAAGCTCTTCACCATACATGCTTTCTTGTTCATCCAAGTCTTTGGATAAAGCAAGGTTTTCACAGTACATGTCTGTCATTTGAACAGCAAGCTTCTCAAGTTCTGAAAAGGAATTAGAGACATCAATCCACTAGAAGATAGTTCATTAAACAAAATGTTCATTAGTTTCTTAAATGCATCAGTAATAGTTCATTAAACAAAGTGTTCATTAGTTTCTTAAATGCATCAGTATTATCTGTTAAGTGAAAAATATATTGACTAAAATATGCACCAAAATAGAGCTGACAGGGCACTAACAACATGAACGGGAATTATATACTCCCTCTGTCCCTTAAAACTTTCTCAGGTTTGATTGACAAAAGTCAAAACTGTGTGGTTGAGGTTTGTGCAGAGAAGAGAGGAATAACCACACATTCAGATAATCTACTAATGAGCTTATAAGAAAAAAAAAACATTGTTCCTAAAGAACTTTAATTCTACAGGAGCAGGATACAACCACCACAAGTGAAAACACAACCTAATCTAGAATACCTACTTTAATTCATGGTAGTCAAACTTGAGATCCTGCGTAGGACCAGATTGGGACCTAAAGATCGTAAATTGGATCCTAAGTTCCTACATATACATATGTACATGTGTCAGTGTGTGTATCTATGTTATATACCAAAGTAATACAGCAAGAAACAAAAGTAAAAAAACTAAGTAATACTCCCTCCGTTCTTTATTAACCTTCT